CTAATCAGTTAGCTGAACAGTAGCATTAGCTGCATATGATCCTTGAGAATAGACAATCTTAATACTTTTATTTAGAGGGCCGGTTAGTTCAGTGGTTTGAGCGTGGTGCCGGCAACAATGACAACACTGAGGTCGTTGGTTTGATTCCCGCTCGGTCCCCATGTGGTGCCTGATCTAGTCGAGAGGTGGTGTCCCTGCCCATGACAGGGAGGTGGGATTCAATGATCTCTAATGTCCCTTCCAACCTAAGACGTTCTATGATTCTATGTTGCGTTTTTTAGTTGCATTATGATAGCAGAGGGTTTAATATTTAAGTGGCAATATTAATGAGAGAATTGATTTTGTATTTTGGAACAGAACTGCTACAAGTCTGACCTTGAATGGTTGCGAGGCATTGGTTGGGTCCCAATTGGTTCCCTGGAAGTTGAAAAAGCCAAGAAGGCAGGACAGATCTTGAGTGATAAAATATACCGCCAGCATCCGGACACAATCAAGTTTACCAGCGTCACAGATTCTATACCGATGGTCTTAGCCAAGCAGAATGCAGACATAATGAATAAGGTGAGTCTGGATTCAGTTATGTGACTCGTCAGTAGGCTCCGCCTAAACGCTGGAGAGATGACTAGCACTGTGGATGTGGGGTTTCTGTGTGAGATTTCACCACAGTGGGGCTTTAGAAGTGTAAGTGACGTTCTTGGGCAATAAGAGGTGACATATTCTCAACAAGTGCTAATTTAATAATGTCTTACAAGTTACCAAGTTCTCAGTTGTGAAGATTTCCACATACACTGCTGTGTTGAATGTTGTGTCAGTGAAATTTGATCTTATTTTAATGTAGCCATTTGTGTAATAAATCTAGTAATTTGTTATCTAGTACTCTAGTACTTAATAACCTACCTTTTTTAATATACTTTTAATAATATCTGTAGTTTAAAAAATTCAGCATATAACTTAAACTGTGAGAGTTTTTTTGAATCTTTTGTCCAGATCTCAATCCTATTTAGGTCAATAAAATAATTTCCTCTTTCAAACAGGAATTATTGTTAGATTTTAAAATCTGTGTGTGTCTGATTAGCATTCTGTGCCTTTATCTAATAATTTTTATTTAACAGTATTCTTCCTATGTTATTAATTCTTAATGTGGACGATAAGTATCTGAAGGAATTAATATAAAACCTCATTGGTATATGAGGAATAAGGATTTTTTTAGACAGAGAGTACAGATCTGCAATTCATCTAACATTTTAGATCTCCAAGTGGTCACTGGGTTTTTTCCCTCCTTTAACATTAATTTTTCCTCCTGCAGCGTTTATATACTGAGGCCTGGGATAAAGACAAGACACAAATCCACGTGATGCCTGACACGCCTGAAATCACCCTGGCAAAACAGAACATGCAAAACTACAGCGCGGTGAGTGTGTTAGTTCTCCAAATGCCATGGGCCTGTTTCATGGCTGGGGCGTCAATTTTCTGATGAACCTTATACAGATGATACCATTGGTTTCTTATGATACCGTTGGTTTCTCTGAGTAATCCTCAATATTTATTCTCAAACGTTACTTTAAAAGCATCTTTTCCATATTTGTACAGTCATACATACATAAAATAGAGAGTACTATTCAGAATAAATTCTGTGAGAAGTTGTCTCCAGTGAATTTCTGGGAGTAATTTCTGCCAGTGTGCATACTTCAGGGAAGGCACAAAATTAATCCCAACATCGAGACTACCAAGAAAATACTCTCCAGTGTGTTCTACAGAGCCATGATCCCAGTGCTCAGTGGTAGTTTAAGCAAATAAATTCATAGGAGTAAGAGATGGCTTTAAAAAGTAAGTTTTACTTCAGTGTTATAGAGAAATGATTTATCTCTAAAACGTAGTCAATGTTACGTTATTTAAAATATGAAAAGAGGAAAGTTGTCACCCAATGTATTTAGCAAAGATCTTCCTTTGTCTTGAACTCGTATAAGCTACTGATCGAAGGGCTTTGGTGTAAGAAAGCTAGATCAAGCTGGGGTAGAATAAGTCTCAACAGAATTACTTAAATCTGCTTGCCAGCAGTTGGTTTTGCACCGCATGTAACACGTGGAACTTACCTGAATCCCATTGTTTGTGTGTTCCTGTAGAAACTCTACAGACAGGCCATGGAAGAAGACAAAAAGAAAGGCTATGACTTGAGAAGTGATGCTATCCCCATCCAGGCGGCCAAAGCCTCCCGGCAAATTGCCAGCGATGTGAGAAACCACTTTGTTGTTTCTTTGTGTGGTGACACGTGCTCTCTGCAGCCTGAAGTTTGTTGGTTGGATTCTGTAAAAGGCATTTTAATAAACTGTGATCTCATAAAAGATTTTAGGAAGTAAATTGTTGTATATATTTGAAGACTTAATTGTGAACCGTAAACGCTGAGAATCTAACGACAATGTAATTTTGCTTTGCTGTAGTTTTCATAGCTCATAAACCTGTCCCTTTCAATTTTTTTTATACTATTTTATTTAGTAAGAATTATGTATAATTAATGAGAGGATTACTTCTCATTAACATTAGTGAAGAGTGTTTTTTTTCAGAAAATCTTTCTTAAAAATCTCTATTTAGGGTTTTAACTCAAATCTCAAAATGGAATGCGAGAATCCATGCTTTTGCCCTGAAAAATACTAGAAGGATTTGAGATTTTTTTGGACCATAAGTTCTAGAGAAATTTAGTGAATTTCTTGTTAGAAATGTTTAATATTAGTAATTGATATTTAGAGGTGATAAAGACATACAATAAATTGATTTATATTTCAGTACAAGTATAAGGAAGGCTATCGCAAGCAGCTCGGCCACCACATCGGGGCCCGTAACATAGAGGACGATCCAAAGATGATGTGGTCGATGCACGTGGCCAAGATCCAGAGTGACAGGGAGTACAAGAAAGCCTTTGAGAAGTCAAAGACACACTTCAGTAGCCCCGTGGACATGCTGGGAATTGTGTTGGCCAAGAAATGTCAGGAGCTGGTCAGTGACGTTGATTACCGCCACTATCTGCATCAGTGGACGTGCCTGCCAGACCAGAACGATGTCATCCATGCGAAGCAGGCCTACGATCTGCAGAGTGACGTGAGTATTCACTGATAAGTGGTGGGTCTCTAAAGTGTACATCACTTAAATTATAGTAGATGCTTGATATGATTCGCTCCTACAGGTTTTTTTTCACATTGTATTTTACTTTTTCTGTTCCATGAAGCGTCATAAGACTTTTAGGTGTGAATGTGTGTAGGTAAGATTAGCTAAACAGTAGAATTTGCTGCATATAATTACTGAGTATACACAATTTCAATATTTACATAAGGAGATTCGTTTCAAAGAAAACAGAAATTGCTTATTATGGCCTAGTATTTTGTTTAGCTGCATGACACTAATAGAGAGAATTCGCTTCTTCCATTTCAGGGAAAACAGTTTAAATTAAAACCTGCTCTTCTTAATGGGTGACCACTTATGTGCTAGGAACAAGTGTTACAGGAGAATTTTCTACTGAGTTTCATGATGTGGATTTAATCCCATTAGCCTTTGACCATTTCCCAAAATATTCTTGGGTGAATGACAATTCCTGATGATAGATGTGGGGCCCGAATCCAGGTTGCTAACAGCGATTGTTCTGCAGATTTAACGAGAAGGATGGAACTGAGAGAACGCAAGCATCAGTTGCAGGGCCTATATGAAATGTTTAAGTGGCAATATTAATGAGAGAATTGATTTTGTATTTTGGAACAGAACTGCTACAAGTCTGACCTTGAATGGTTGCGAGGCATTGGTTGGGTCCCAATTGGTTCCCTGGAAGTTGAAAAAGCCAAGAAGGCAGGACAGATCTTGAGTGATAAAATATACCGCCAGCATCCAGACACAATCAAGTTTACCAGCGTCACAGATTCTATACCGATGGTCTTAGCCAAGCAGAATGCAGACATAATGAATAAGGTGAGTCTGGATTCAGTTATGTGACTCGTCAGTAGGCTCCGCCTAAACACTGGAGAGACGACTAGCACTGTGGATGTGGGGTTTCTGTGTGAGATTTCACCACACTGGGGCTTAGCCTCTTCTCTAACGATATTTATTTAACAATATTCTTCCTAGATTACTAATAGTTAATGTGGACATTAAGTATCAGGAGGAATGAATACAAAACCTCATTGCTATATAAGGAATAAGGTCTTTTTAGACTTGGAGTACAGATCTGTAATTCTTCTTCATTTTAGAAAGGCTTCAAGTAGGAACTGTTTCATTTTCTGATTTCCTCCTGCAGCGTTTGTATACTGAGGCCTGGGATAAAGACAAGACACAAATCCACGTGATGCCTGACACGCCTGAAATCACCCTGGCGAAACAGAACATGCAAAACTACAGCGCGGTGAGTGTGTTAGTTCCCCAAATGCCATGGGCCTGTTTCATAGCTGGGTCGTCAATTTTCTGACAAACCTTATACAGATGATACCATTGGTTGTTTAGGTAACCTCCGGTATTTATCCTCAAACTTGTGACTTTAAAAGCATCTCTTGCATATTTGTACAGCAGTGCTTATGGAAAACAGAGAGTACTATTCAGAATGAATTCTGTGGGAAGTTGTTTGTCTCCAGGGAATTTTTTGGAATCATTTCTGCCAGTGTGCATACTTTAGGGAAGGCACAAAATTAATCCCAACATCGAGACTACCAAGAAAATACTCTCCAGTGTGGTTCTGCAGAGTCGTGATCCCAGTGCTCAGTGTTAATTTAAGCAAATAAATTCATAGGAGTAAGAGGTGGCTTTAAAAAGTAAGTTTACTGGTGT